ACCTCCTCGCACCGGCCTGGTACGGAGGAGGGCTTTTTGACCTTAAAATCAACATTAACTGGGCACCCTCCGGGGATGAACATTTTCAGAGGATATTCAGGTACCGGTTCCTCGAAAGCAATACGTGAGACGATTTCCTTGGTAGCCCGCCGCGAGGTATATGGAGTTTTTTTTTGGGGAACGGATTTTGAAGTCTTCGCCATTTCTTTGAAAGATGTAGAAAAAATGAGGAAAAAGAAGAAGTTAAAAGAGTACACTTAATGGTTTGAGGTGAAGACGAATGAGAGTTTTTATAAAAGATCTCAAAGTAACTAGAGTATAAGTGCTTGGAAGTATTGAAATTTCTTAGACACGAGGGCAGAAGGCTTGGATGTAAAGTTTGAAAGAACAAAGGAAGGGGTATTTATAGTTTTTCAGCGATGGTTCACATCTGGGAGTGGCCGACTGGAAACTGACAAGCATTTAATGCCATTAATACTAGACCGACGAGACGTTTCAACTATTTTATTGTTTTTGTCACGGTATATCGAAGTAAGAATCGGGAGCTCATATTGTTTCTTGTCATCTACTCTCCAAAAAATGAGGGGACTATCTGTATACTGGTAGAACCGGTCTCTTAGTACATCCCGGTCTCTGACATGATAAGCCAAGCTCGAGATATGGTAACAGGGAGAGCTTAGATCGAAGTAGAAATCTCATCAATTTGGAGTTTGTACCATAACGCCCGCCCTCGAGGATGTCGGGGTCGTGATTCGGGATCGGTCCTTAGTCTCTATTAACTTCGAAGAACGTTGTCAGATAGTCAAGCTCGGCCAACAGAAGGCTGTGATATCCGTGACCGATCGAATATCACGGCGAAGATCTCGGCACGTATTGGTAAGAGATCGGCAATCAGTTAATTAGAGGATTTTTACCTTTTATAGAGTTGTATTTAATGTAGGACTCTGCTATTATAAAAAGGGGATCTATTTACTTGTAAAACAGATTGTAACACGCATTCCAAAGTAATACATTATTATTTCTCTTTAAGCTCTTGTTCTTTTGTGTCTTGATACCGATCGAAGTACGTCCAGCTCAAAGGTGATTAACCTTCCAAGGCTGAGACTGTTTAATTCGTGTGGTTTGTATTAACTTTATCATCATTTATTTCAATGCAATATAATTTATCGTTTTGTGTCAAGTTAATCCACGTATCCTTAAAATCACTTATAAATTCAATTGGCCAAATACATAGATGACCCCTTAAAGTTGCTTCCAAATTCTATTTTAATACCTTAACTTAGTTTGTTTCCTATTAAACACTTAATTTTAACATAAATTGTGCCTATTAGACACAAATACTGAGGTGGCAAAGTGAGTATATCACACTTCTTTTTGAAAGCGTGGATACAAAATATTGAGTGTCAATTAAAGATTAGGCTATAATTTTTCTTCCATCTCCTTTATCTGGCTTCTCTGCAGATATCACCCCACCACGCCACCTCCATAGCCACTGTATTCATCACCACCTCATTCCCACCTCCACCGTTTTGGCCAATTCCTCCACATGTACCTTCACAACATAAGAACCTCCATCCCCCACCGAACTATCACTGTGAAAATCACTTCGAACTCCACCACCTATCCACCATTGGAAATAACACTTCGCATCATAATATCAAAACTCCACATCTTCTTCAAACAATTCCAGACCAGATACACCCAAATTTGTAATTTCAAGCTGGTAATTTATAAATTTCTCATTAAAGAAGAAATCAAAACACCAACATAATAATACCCAGATGAAATTGAAAAGGAAAAATAAAAATAACAGAGGATAAATTTCTTCAAGGGTTGGCTCTTATTTTGGGACAAAAAAGTTCTTGAGAAGTTCCACTGGAAAAGTAGCCAGTAAGACTCCATTAATGGAGTCTGATCATGGCTTTAAAACAAATGATAGTGATGGGCTTTAGTCGGAGGAACCAGAAGGGTCAACGACACCGGTGTGAAACTTCACCAACTGTCATTCTTTTAGATAAATCATAGAAAAAAATGGTTAAAAGAGAGAGTTTACTGGTGAGAGAGATTTGACAGAGAAAGGGGCAAAGTGATGATCGGGAGAGGTTCATTTAGAGAAAAGACGATAGGAGAGGCAAGGTGGAGAAGGAAAAAAGTTTATATTTTTTTGGGAGGTATATTGTTAATATGTTATTTGGGTTAAATACAAGTGTTGTTATTTGATTTGTTTTTTTTTGGCCACATCATCGCGTTTGATTTCACACTCTTACTTTTGTTTACTGGTGGTTAGACGATGGCCTAATAGGCAAAATTTATATTGGTATTTAGTGTTTAATAGAAACAGTTTCAGTTGAGGTGTCAAAACGAAATTTGAAGCTAACTTTAAGGGGCTCTTTATGTATTTGGTCAATTCAATTGTTATCCGATTTTAAGGGTAAACATACATTTATTGATGAACATGTCCAACTATCCAAAACTTAATTATGAAGTTATTACCAGACCGGATAACTCTAAAGTGAACTGAAATTGTTCCAAACAAATCCTAATTTGGAAAACGCTGACTAAATGTTTTCGGTAACTCGTCTCCTTCATAAAGAAGTACAAGGCTATTTATAGTAGCTTTGGGAAAAAAGAGGATAAGTATTCACCTTGTAACAGGTACTATATCAAATTAATTGATACATATTTAAAATATAAATATTATCACTTAATTATAGGAATAATTAATTAATTAATCTGTATTTCTATACCATTAAATCAATTGACCATGTCGCGTTAATATTCTTTCCGTCCATGTTTACTTGTCTTCTATACTACAAATAGGATGTTTACTTTTACTCGTTCAATTTGGAAAATCAAGAGATAATTTTACACTTATTTCACCATTATTATTTTTTAATATTTTAGATTTATAATAGTTAAAGTTAATTTTTCAATAATAATAATTAGAGATGATATACCATAATTATTATTTTATTAATTACTTTTTAAGGAGTATGTCTAATTAAATATAGACAAGTAAACATAGACGAATGGAGTACAATCTAATATAAATAACAAGTGTAAGTAAGTATTTATCAAAACGAGGAATAGATTGAACAGACGGCAGGAAATTAACGGAATCTAGTGCGTAGTAAAAAAGAATCCAACAGGCTATATACGTACATGGTACACAAATTTATCCTAGAAGACTGCGAACTACTAAAAATGACGATGCTACAAATTCTATTTTGTAAACCCTACTTCATAGGGACATAGTACTGCTTCTTACTTTGTTCTAAAAAAAAAAAAAATTATTACAGTATTTGAAACTATGAAAGTGATTTCGAATTGATGTGAAAAAGTAACCCCAAATGCAATAAGTAGCATGTCGTTGTTTTGCTTTTTAGGTTTTATTTATTTTAAATTTGTTTTTTTAACATAATCTAATAGTCTTTCACTTTACTCCTAAAATTAGCCATGTCGAATTTAACGAATGAAACAAGAAAATATAATTTGAGAAGATATCAATTCCATTTGTCGCCATTTGAGCTATAGATCTAAGAAAACATAGAGTCAAGTGAACTGTTAAAGTTTAATGGTCGAATCATAAAATAACCCTTTACAGTACATAACTCACAATACAAAAAACTTATATTAACGATCCACTGCATTCGAGAAAGAATACATGATCTCTTGAACAATTATGAAATACAATTCGTTTAAATTTTAGGTTTTATGTACTTAGCACAGCGTCGAATTCAACTAATGAATGGAAAGAATAGAATTTGAGAGAGAAGGAGCATTATCTTTTGAGAATATGTGTCAAGTTAATTATAAGCTATATGAAGTCAGTCATTTGTTACTAATGGTGGAACTATATATGGACGTCATTTTTATGCCTCACCGTCTCAAATGGAGCTAAAATAACGTATATTCAAGAAATACTCCCTCCGGTGTTCACAATAAGTGATTTTTTGATATTTTATGGTCCAAAATAAGTAATTTTTTCAGATTTTAAGAATAAATTAATTATTTTTTTTCTACATTGCCCTTGGAGTAAATAGTGTTGGAGTATGTGCTAGAAATATTTATGTGAAGAGATAGTAAATGTTAGTATAGTAAATTTTATTACTAATTAATATTAAAAGGTAAATTTTTTAATATAGATATAAAAAACTACTTATTATGGAGCGATGAGAGTATTATTATGACTACCTATCGCATTCTAGTAAGAATATACTGATCTCTTGAATTTAGAGTTATGAAATAGAATTGGTTTAATTATAGAAGCAAAAGGTGATACCTCGTAATCTGGTGTTCCACATTCTTTTATTAAAAAGATATCCTTTTTCCATTTGAACATGTCGGCTTTTGTTATTGAAATCTTGATTTTTGTTTTTTTTAAAAAAAACAGTGTGTTTGTACGACGGAATTCATTCTCAATGAAAAGTGATTCCTCCTAAAAATATTTTCTGATTTTTAGTTGGTGCGTGAAAATAAATTTCAACAAAAGTATGGATCAAAATTAAGAATAACATTAGCAAATATAGTGTTTTGTGAAGCTTTAAAGTATTTAAAGATCGATAATAATATCTTAATATTTGTTGGAACATAAAATTAAAAGTTAAGATATCTAAAAAAGGTTAAATACTTTTTTCATATAAATGAGAAAAATATATTTCTCCATTTTTTTTATCAAACATGTGTTTTTGGAATTAAATAGCAAAAAATAATTTTTTTATTTTTCCTCACAAAATGACTTTTATCGTAAAAATAAAAAAAGTGCTCTCACATATTTCTGCCCTCCATGTTCAGTGATGGAGTCACAATGTAGGTTAAAGATTATATTTTACACAATATATACATAGGTCAAATTAAAGACAATATTTTACACAATATATATAAATCAAATTATAATATATTTATAAATTTTGAACATCTTTAATGAAATTACAGAATATGTTATTCTCGGTAGCTAACCGATATATGGAACCGCCAAAGAGACCATCTTAAGTTAAGTGGCTTTTTTCATACTTTAGGACCAGAGCCTCATGTATTAGAAAGTTCATCGTCTGCTTTGCGACTCACTCCCCTCTTTTCCCCCATTTGCTTTTTCGTCTCCGCTTTTGTCTGCCCCTCCCTTTCTTCAATATGGATACTTCTCACTGGCCACAGGTAAAGATTACCATATAGTTTTCTCTATCTCATCTACTGAATTAATACACCTTTCTAGGGTTTAGATTTTCTAGGCTATTTTTGTTTTGATATATATAATATTAGGGTCTGCATATTTTCATTTCTATTTCTAATCGTAATTAATTGTGGTGTTGCCCATGCATCCTTTTTGATTGCGATCTTTCATATCATCCTTTTTTCGTCCTTTTTCTTTTTCCACTATCCAATAAAGTTACCTAAAAAGCCAGTTTAATTTGTTTTTATTGCTTCTTCTTCTACTTGTAGCTATAGCTACTTCCTGAAAAAGTGTAAAGCACTAGTTATCACTTTAATTTTGTTTTGTTGCTTCCGTTTTGTTTGTTTGATCACTTAGTCTATGGCGTTATTTTCTTTGTCTTCTCTTAATTTGTACAGGGCATAGGACTAGCGAAAGCTGTGGAACCCTCAAAGCCAGTGCCAGTAACAGAACGAAAGCCAAGGCCACAAAAAGAACAAGCAATAAATTGTCCAAGATGCAATTCAACAAACACAAAATTCTGTTATTATAACAATTATAGCCTTTCTCAGCCAAGGTATTTTTGCAAAACTTGTAGAAGGTATTGGACTGATGGTGGTTCTTTAAGAAATGTTCCTGTTGGTGGCGGTTCAAGAAAAAATAAAAGATCTAATTCCTCTTCTAATAATTCCTCATCCTCCACATCATCTTCATACAAGAAAATTCCAGATCTCACAATTCCAACTTCTTCTTCTACTCAAAACCCTAAAATAATAAACGAACCCCATGACCTAAATTTAACATTTAACCCATCCACTACTAGCAATTTCAGTAACATTTCTGAGTTTATGGCCTTACCTTTAATGAACCCAAATTCCACAACTTCATTTATGTCATCTATTATGCCACAGATTTCGGATTCTAATAATATTATGTACTCATCATCATCAACTGGGCTACCTAATTTGCATGATTTGAAGCCTACACTTAATTTTTCTTTGGATGGGTTTGATAATAATAATGGGTATGGAAGTTTACAAGGAGAGACTGCTGGAGCAAAACTGTTTTTCCCTTTGGATGATTTGAAGAATGTTTCAACGGCAAATGATGATCATGAGTTTGATGAACAAAATAGAGGGCAAGCTGCTGAATCTCATGGATTTTGGAATGGAATGTTGGGCGGAGGATCATCTTGGTAATTGATTAGAAGGTGGTGTTTATCTATTTGTGTTTTTAAGTTAATTTTTACAGGCTGAGTGACATGTTTAGTTGTTTTCCAGTATAATTAAAACTTCTACTACTGCTCCTTACTAACTGATAGAATATATGTGTTATTTCTTTATGAAACTTCTAATTTCGTTTGCATCACTTTGAATTATGAGTCATGCTTGTAAATGCTGTATCTTTTCTTTTGGTTGTTAAAAACTGCGATAACCTCATCTAAAAAACTAATTATATTTCAATATTTTTTTTTGTTTTTTGAGTGACATTTTTTTTGAGTGGTGGTGTGATTTGAACTTGGGACCTATTGCAGTAGTATTATCATGTTTTAAAAATTTAAGTTTAGAAAATTTATCTCACTTTTCTTTATTATATTATGTCCGTAAGGCTATTGTAAAAGCTTTTATCTTCCTTGCTTTTGAGTTTGTCGACAGGTCATTACTGAGGATTGTCAGTTCTTTCCAGCTCTATAATCTTTTGTCACATTATTATTCCAACCTTAAAAATCAGCTTTGTTCATGTTTGATTAAAAGCCTAAGTAAGATATTGATTCTAAAGATAACAACCAGGAATTAAACATGAGAACATATATACTTTTATCACATGCTAACACACATTACCCCTTTTCAAAGACTAATCCACCATTCATAAGATAAGATATTACCTTGAAAGAAAAGCAGAAATGAACTTGTTTAGTTTATGCAATCCATTAAAGTTGCATCTCGTCGAATGATGGCATGTTTCCACGAATGATGCGTTTGAGCTGTTACCTTTACTTTTATGGCACATACTTTACTCAATTATCCTGCCACCATATTATTTATATATACACACACACCCCCATGCACCTAGAAAACAAAGGGGTAGAGAGTGCATTGCATTTTCTTAATTTGAATAGGACCTACCTACAAACATTCTCCTCGGTAACCTTTGCCGGAAAAAATTAATGTAGTCAATTTTCTACTCGAACATGTTCAGCATAAAGTCTCTCTTTCAGAGTTTTTATTGGAAATAAACATATCTAACTCGATATCGATAAAGTAGGGATAAAAGTTTGTGTACATATTATCCTCTCCAAATGGAAAAATTAATGTAGCCAATTTATCTACTCAATTATGTTCAGCAAAAAAGCCTTTTTTTGGGAATAGTGGGGTGTTATTGGGTGGACATTCCTTAATTATTTATTTCTAATTTTGGTGTAATGGTGTTTCCGATATTGGCTGCATTTCATGGTTTATTGGTAATTTGGTATAGTGCACTTAGAGATGTCGACTGTGAAATTTTCTCGTAGGTTTTAAAATTTGGATACTTATTAGCGTTTGGCAATAATTTTCAAATTTGTTCTGAAAATTTTGATTTTGGTGAAATTTAGTTTGAAGATAAAAATGTGTTTGGACATTAATTTTCAAAACATATTTTCCAAATGTATTTTGGAAAAACATGAAACATAGACTTATACCCACAATTTCTAAAAACGATCTCAAATACCCAACAGTACCATTATCAATAGCATTCATTATATTATGTCAAACCATAGTCTTGAACATAAATAAATTTGATACAAAATTATCATTTTTATAATGAACTACATGATACACTATCAGGTGACCGAGAAGACGAAGCAACATTATTACAAAATAATAAATGGAGCACTCTTTTATAAAATCAAAAATTTGGGGCAATTTTTAAAAAATATAATAGTAATATTTTGGCTCAAAATCAGCTATTGAGGTGGATTTGGGATTTAGGATTTTGCCAAAATGTAAACAAAATCTATAACCAAATATGTGGTTGTCAAATAAAATCTAAATTTATTTTGGCAAAATCTATGATGAAACGGTCCTTAATTTCTGGCAAATCCGCTTTCTTACCACCTTTAATAGTTCGTAGATCATAATTTGACTACTAGTTTCAATCTCCCGTTGCAATCTCGAAAAACGTAGCATTTTGACTTCCTATACATGATTGGATTTTGCGTTATGTGGTGTTTTTAATGTCCTTGTTACTGTAAAATCTCTGCATGTGACTGCTTCTTTCCTGTACTAAATTACATACAGACCTAATATTGAGCTTTCACCTATAGAGGATATAAAAACATTAGACCGAAAGAATACAAGTAGATTTTTGTCCAGAGAGAAAATGATAAAAGTTTCGTTTTCTTCAAATTCAGCGATAGATATCTTTGTCAATTATTAAAGGGACATCCGTGCGTCTTCAAGGGGTATATATAAATATATACGTACAAGAAATCAATGGTTTGGCGTCTTTGGTCACAATTAATGGTCGATTGTTGTCTAAATGGTCGATTTAGTCCGATCATCTTTGCCACGCAGCTTAGTACAATGAACAAATCCCATATCTTGTTCGTTTTACAATTAGTTGACGAAGCTGTCAAAAATTTGTCTGTTCACAAAAGATAAGGAGCAAAAAGATTTTGCATGATTAGGTTATATCATATATGTCCGAGGGGCTGTGTAACGACGTCTAGCTACCATCCAAGCGCGAGTTTAAGAGAATATGTTTGTTATAAAAAGTCTCAAATTCAGAATTTGAGAAACAAAATCATAGGCATAAGTGTTGGTCAGCTCAACTGTTGAATCACATGATAAAAAGGAAGATAAATGAATGTGATGATCTAGCGCCTTAGGTTAGATTGTCAAATTTGGGAGATTGTATTGTTTAATTCGAAAGAGTCATTGCTACTAGTACTAGTTTGTTACGGCAATGGTCGGTGTAAAGTGGAATTTATTTTGTACCTTAGCCTACCTTGATGTCCCTCTATAAGCGGGTGCTATTTTTTATTACTATTATTTTAACTTCTAATTTTAAGTTACTTGTTTCAATTGATATTTCGATATGGTTTTTGGTCTATAGTTTACAGAAATTTAATCGAAAATGGCCTATTTGCTAATGTTATCATATAAAATTTTAATAATTTTCGTCAAAAATATTTCCCATACAAAATGACTTCCGTTATACCTTCAACTGACATTTTAATTTTTGTATATTGGGGCCTGCGTCAATTAAAGTGGGAAGCATTCTCTTTCATTATTTATTTATCTTGTTGATCAAATTCGAATTCTATGATTAAAGATGATTCTTCCAACTAAACACTTTCTAATGAATCAAATGATCTCGCTAAAGAGGAGAGCACCGAAAGAAACATAATACGATCAGGAAAGATTTCGACAGTCTGTTTCTAATTTTACCTTTTTATCAGAACGTTCTTTGCTTTTCTCTCTTGGATAAAGCGGTATTCTCCGATTTCTTTTCCTCCAATTACGAGCAAAATTATCGTTTGTAATCATTATGTCCCTCCACCGTATACGCTTTATTTTAATTTTAAAATGTCAAAATTTGGATCAAGATTCCCCTTTAGAACTTAGAAGTGTCAACCGGCCAACCTTTCAATAGTTACCCAGTATGTGATTCACCTAATTTTTGGCAACACTATACGGTCATGGAAAAATGTCAAATATAGTCCTCTATATATTGTTATTATTTAATTTCAATTATATTATCGGGCCAAATTTACCTCTACCGTTATACTATCGGTCAAATTTATCCCTACAATCAGCAAATTTTTAAAAATACCCCTTGATCTGTTAAGTAATCCAAAATCTCCCAAATTTCTTTTATTTAATTCATTTGTTATTTTTTTGGTCCACTATTTTAATTTCAATAATTACTATTGATGTGAATGCTAAAGTTACCGGACTATTCAAATTATTCAGAATTTTTTTTATTACCAATGCACCCATTTCTCTTTTTGTAATAAATAAAATTGGTTTAAAATTTTATTTATTTTTCAACCATATACACATCGTAGAATTTAGTGGGTCTATTTATTGTGTATCATATGCAGCTGATCATCATGTATGTACATGTATATTCAAATATATTTTCTCATTGCCTGGTTAGTATAGAGTTCGGTCGACTAACTTAAGAGTGCAAAATGTGTAGGCTTTTAATTAAAGCAAAGTTGAATTAGACAGTGTAAAGTCTCCGAGGAACTACAACTTCAATCACTAATACTTGCAAAATCTCCATACATTTGGTGCAACGAATTTATTAAAATTGGGATGTTGTACAGTCAAACCTCTCTATAACAGCCTCGTTTATTCCGAATATTTTTGGATGTTATAACGAAGTGTTGTTATAGAGAATATATATTATAACATAACATAAAAATTGGTTCCGAAAAAGCTTGGATTTTATAGTGAAGATTTGTTATATAGGGATGCCGTTATAGAGAGGTCTGACTGTAAATACTTTTAGAATTGAGAAAAGCTAACAACAAGTGATTTAAATAAAAGGAATTTGAGAGATTTTGGATTTGTTAACAGATTAAGGGGTATTTTTAAAAGTTTGCTGATTGTAGGATAAATTTGGCCTGATAATATAACGGAAGTTAAATGTAAATAATATATGAAAGTAGAGGGGTATATTTGGTCCTTTTCCCTTCAATCAAATGTTGAAATCAAAGAATAGAGCAATTTTAAACTTTGTGTCAATCAAGCTTCGCTCTACTTTTAAATCTCAGTTACAAAGATATTTATGTAAATTTACAATAATATATATTTTTGGATGTTTTAACATACATATCAAGCTTAACAAATACATCGGATGATTAGGGTCATTTCATAGGCAGTTCGGAAGAATCTAGTACTAAACAATAACAATATTTCAGTTGGGGAGCAAACCTTAGGTCAATTTAACTAATTATATATGCTCTCCTATGGAGGCTGCCCTAAGGCCTGTGAAGTACATACAAAAAAGGCATCAGAACTTGGCGTGACAGCCTTTGTTTGAGGAAATAAATGTTGAGACAGGGCGCTTCTAACTTAGTCTTATTTGCCAACAATACAAATTGGAGAACAAGGAGCCTAGTGGACTTTTGGAACCTCTACCAGTGGTGGAATATGTACGTGAAGCAACAACAAAAAAATATTAAATCTCATAATTTACATTCTTCAATCAACTTATCTTATACAAAATTTGATGATAAAATATAAAAACAATAAACTCTCCTCAAAAAACCCGATTGAGGTAGGGTGTTGTATTGTTAGGGACTCAGGACAGAGCTAGAATTAAAGTTACGGGTTTGACCGAATTTATTAGCTTTGGACAAAACTCGGTATTTGTGTGAAGAAATTCACTTAATATGTAAAAAAAAATATTCAGAACTCGATAAGCTGCATTTTTTAAAATTCAAAACTCATAAATTCAAAATTCTGGATCCGCATTTACGTATTGTGACTGTAAAACAGCTATTTCATATAGCATCGAAATAGATGTAACATGTCAAGACAAGCAACAAACTTATGAAATCTCTAAAGAAAAAATAGAGTACAAGTTACAAACTTTTGAAGTCTTTCGGTCTCCTGGCTCTGTTCAATCTTAAAGGGCGGCCCAATAACAGTGCGAACCAGCCCAACCCAGTCATCTTCATCTTTTTCAACTGTAATAAAATGTGAGAAGTTAAGGATTCGCCACTTACATTATGCTTGAAATGGTTTCCCTGTTGGAACCCATAGCTCAGCCACTACCATTGCAGCCACAGTATGAGTCCCTTGAATTCAGAGCTACTAAGGTTTCCTTTCACAAATCAAAACCAACACGGCAACGTCATTTTCCACAACCCATGTCGACGAGCCCGGCCCATTTCTCTCCTTTGGACGACCTCGTAAATTCAAGCACCTATGCTTCAGTGCTTGAGTCCTGCAAATGTCCCAGGTTGGGTAAACAAGTGCACGCACAAGCGCTCAAAAATGGGTTTCACGGTCACGAGTTTGTGGAAACTAAGTTGCTTCAGATGTATGGGAAATGTGGTTGTTTTAATGATGCAGTTCTCTTGTTCGACAAAATGCGTGCAAGAAACTTGTATTCGTGGACAGCTGTGCTTAATGTCTATTTAACTAATGGGCTTTTCGAGGAAGCTTTTGAGTGTTTTCAACAGGTTCGATTTGAGGATTTTGATTTGGAGTTTTTCTTGTTTCCGGTGGTGCTGAAGATTTGTTGCGGTTATGGTGGCATTGAATTGGGCAAACAATTACATGGAATTGTCCTCAAGTATGGATTTTCATCCAATATTTATGTCGGCAATGCTCTGATTGATATGTATGGCAAATGTGCGAGTTTGGAGGATGCAAAAAAGTTTTTGAGTAATATGTCAGAGAGGGATTGTGTTTCTTGGAATTCAGTTATAACAGCTTTTGCTGTCAATGGAATGTTAAGCGAAGCACATGAAGTTTTTAACCAAATGTCTGCTGAGGATAATCTAACTCCAAATTTTATTTCCTGGAGTGCTTTGATAGGTGGATTTTCAGCGAATGGATGCGACGAAGAGGCCATTGAAATGCTTTACAAAATGCAAGCTGTTGGGTTCCAACCAAATGCCCAAACGTTGGCAAGTATACTTCCTGCTTGTGGTAGATTGCAAATGCTATATTTGGGGAAAGCAATTCATGGATATCTGGCCAGACATGAATTGATGTCTAATTCTTTCGTTGTTAATGGCTTAATAGATGTGTACAGGAGGTGTGGGGATATGGGAAATGCATTCCGTGTATTTTCAATGTTCTCGACTAAAAATGATGTCTCTTACAACACCATGTTAGTGGGATACTTTGAGAATGGAGAAATTTCAAAGGCTCAAGAGCTGTTTTATCAAATGGAACGCGAAGGCAAATGGAAAGATATAATATCTTGGAATTCAATGATTTCAGGATATGTAAACAACTCTATGTTAGGTGAAGCTTTGAATATGTTTCACAAGGTGATGTGGAAGGAAGAAATTGAAGCAGATACCTTCACCCTTGGCAGTGCCCTTGCTGCTTGTGCTGATACGGGTTTATTACGACGTGGGAAGGAGATACATTCCTGTGCCATTGTTAGGGGCCTGCAAACAGATGCTTTTGTTGGTGGGGCACTTGTAGAAATGTATAGCAAATGCTTGGATGTGAATGCAGCTCAAAAAGTTTTTGATGAGGTGAATGAGAGGGATATACCAACATGGAATGCATTGATATCCAGCTATGCTCGTTCTGGTGAAATGTTTAGTGTCGAATGCACTCTCGAGAAGATGAAGGCAGATGGATTTGATCCAAATATTTACACATGGAATGGTATTATTGCTGGCCATGTTGAGAATGCTGGTAATGAGTCAGCTCTGCAGTTGTTTTTGGACATCCAATCCTCAGGTTTGAGGCCTGATATTTACACGATTGGAACAGTATTACCAGCCTGCGCAAGGTTAGCGACTCTCGACCGAGGAAAGCAGATTCATGCTTATGCAGTTAGGTGTGGATATGACTCAGACACCCACATAGGATCGGCTCTTGTGGACATGTACGCAAAATGTGGATGTGTCAAGCATGCTAGACTGGCTTATGATAACATTAAAAAGTATAACTTGGTCACAGAGAATGCAATGCTTACGGCATATGCTATGCACGGATATGGGGAGGAAGGAATTGATTTCTTCCGCAGAATGCTGGAAAATGGATTTATACCAGACGACATAACTTTCTTGTCAGCTCTTTCGTCGTGTGTCCATGCAGGTTTACTAGAGACCGGACTGGAGTTCTTCGACCTGATGGGATCTTACAATGCAAAACCGACATTAAAACACTACACATGTATGGTTGATCTTTTAAGTCGAACAGGTAAGCTTAATGAAGCATTGAAGGTCATTAAAGAGATGCCTTTGGAGCCTGATACAGTGATTTGGGGTGCCTTGCTTGGAGGCTGTGTTATCCATGGGAATCTTGAGGTTGGTGAAATTGCAGCAAACAAGCTCATCGAGCTAGAACCAGGAAACACTGGGAATCATGTCATGTTAGCAAATTTATATGCTTCTGCTAGAAGATGGGGTGATCTTACCAAAACAAGACAACTCATCAATGAGAGGAAAATGCACAAAAGTCCTGGATGTAGTTGGATTGAAGATAAAGGTGAAATACACGTATTTGTAGCATGCGATACATCCCATCAAAGAACAGATGAGATTTATCAAACACTAAATATATTGACAACACAAATAAAAGTAGAACATTAGAGTGCATTGTACTTCTGTATAGAACAAATAATTTACAAAAATTCACATTGTAAGATATTAATGTCACCAGAAATTAACTGGATCTTCCTCTTTGTGGCTTCTGCATAGCCTATTAGTCGACCCTTGTTACAAGGTTAGACTGTTGGTGAAACTGCTACTTCTCTGAGGCTTCTGCTCATTACATAATGACAAGATGCTGAAAGCCTTACTCGTCAATAAAGGTCTATGGACTCCAGTACTCTACGAGCTTGAATGTGTAAAGCTGTCAATCTCTGTTCTGGATCAAGTGTTGAACCAAATTGACTAGCTGCCCATATCAATGATGCAGATTTCTCACCTAGAAACCGCCTTATGTCTTCATGAATTGTCGCCATGGGAGGCCTCTCCCTCCCGTTTACATGTCCGATCAGAAGCAGTAGAAATTCTCCACACTTGAGCCTGGTGATATCAAGTTTGTCAGAACCATGCAAGCAAATTGGCGAAGAGAATTCTTGGATTTACGTTGGACAGTGTGTTTCATGATTTGCTTTATCTTTTCTCGACCGAAATGGAACTATAGCACTTTCCTATATGTCGAAGGCCACCACAAAATTTTCTCTAATCTACCCGAGAGAGA